AGAGGGACGAAAGATTCTTATGTATCTGTGGTATCTCACACTGTTTTTATCTTTAAGATTCGGAAGGAGCTAGCAAGATACTTAAAGTGAAGAAAAGGGACATGTTAAATTTATCTAATGGAGAACGCATTGTGGTTGATTTTGACGACACGGATTCCACCGGATCAATGGATTTCTTTTGTTGATTACCGCTTTAAAGAAAAAATACATGTATTTATTTCAATGCTTCAACTTTTAATTACTAAGTTAAATTGTTTGATTAGAATAAAAATCAAGTACGAGTAAGTATTTACTCATATATTCTGTGGAATCAACGATGGCTACACTCCAAGAATATTACGTAGTAGGGTCAACAGCAGCAGCTTCATTTCTTTTTCTTTTTCTTCATAGTACAAACTAACTTCATTTTGTGGAGGGATATTGTGAAGGTTCTTTACAGTTTTGATGCAAATCTTGTTATCCATTTAAAGAATGTTAGGAGCAAGAACACGCGTCTGCTGGGTGCTAACTTAACTTAGTGTGCCCGGACAAAGGTGATGACAGCTATGTGTGTTTTGTGTTAGTTGGATCGATTCTTGAAATATATAGCTAGTTACATTAATTCAGCCTGGGGCTACTATTTGATCTAACATGTCCTATTTCTATCTTGGCCATAACATTATCAATATTTTCAGTAATAATATTACTGCTACTATATTGATCTTTGTTGAGTGGCAAAAGATAATAAGATTGTCCTGCTAGTAGTACTTTTTGTGCTGGTAATGGCTTCCAAAACAAATCATGGCTTCTAAAAATGGCATGTCCTGAGAATTCTTCAGTGATTGACTCTACTGTAACCGGAGCTAAGAATTCCATAATGCCACCTGTGGATGTTATCACTTTCACCATATCTTCATTTCCATCTCCAATTCCTCCAAACAAGCAATTTCTTCATAGACAAGTTATATAAAATGATATAACTTCTGCAGTTTGTACAAGCTAAATCTGATTGGTTTTGACATAATCAGATTGTTTGCATTCAACTTTCCTTGCCTTATATTTGTTTGGTTGATTTTTTTTTGTATCTTTTTGTAAGGGAACTTGTAAAAAGAAATGCTGAAATTCGGAATAAACAACTGTTTCAGATATCGGTGGCTCCAAACCTAACTCTAGAAGAAGGGCTGAAATGGTAATAATTCATTTTGGATGCTTTAATTAAACTAGCAATTATTCCTTGTTAGTTAAGTTAATGCGAATTTGACCTTTTCAATTATAGATGGCTGAGACTGGAGAAAAGCCTGGACGAGGACAGCTTTCTCTCGCTACACATAGGAATGAAGATGGATCATATGTTAATGAGGCGGCAAAAGAGATATGTGTAAGACTCTCATTTCTCCAACTTTGAGCAACCAACATCTAAAATGATATGTGTGTGTATGTATAGGTAGTGATATACCTCTTGCTATATTTTGAGCATTGTCTGAACACACTTCACATTCACAATTGCACCAAAATAACAATGTGTTACTTTATTTGAACTATCTAACCATATTTCTTTCTTTTAGTATTTCACAGTATGAATATCATGATATTAATCTGATACTATTTTAAGATATACAATGACTTAGATCAATAAATAGATAATTTTCATTTGAATTTCTACAGAGATCAACGACTCCAGGTCTGTTTTGAACTTGGGGAATGCATTTTTATGAAGATAACACCAACTTCTTAACAACCTCTTACAGTATATACTCCCTCTGTTTCAATTTATGTGAACCTGTTTGACTGGGCACGAAGTTTAAGAAAAAATAAAGACTTTTGGTATTTGTGATCCTAAACAACCCAAAAAGGGGTCCACAGTATTTGTGTGGTTATAAAAGCTTCTCACTAAGGGTAGAATTGAGACTTTAAGCTAAATTGTTTCCAAATTTAGAAAGGGTTCATTCTTTTTGGAACGGACCAAAAAGGAAATAGGTTCACATAAACTGGAACGGAGGGAGTACTATTTTGTTAAAATAACATAGTTCTGACAATTTTAAGTCTTTAAAAGAAAACCCATCCCTACTCCAAAAGTTTTACCTGCAATGTGAACTGCAACAATTTTATCTATAATGTGGCCTATGTTGTATTTAAAAATTGATGCCCATATCAAGAATGTGAATAACAGACTTGGCATTTTAGATGACTTGGCATTTTAGATGTTGATTGAAGTAAGGACACTGACTTTTGCTGTGTAATGTATTTAGAAAAAATTGAACTAGCATTGATCCAAAGCACTGTGGATGAGTCTGAAATTTCGCTAAATGATATTGGTAAGGTGTTGGGAAAAGAGCACTCTGAAAGGGTAAGGTGCTTAGGATTAGGAGCTATTCCTAGCAGAGGTGTTAGACAAACAAGACCTCGTTATAGTGATTTGAATGCTTCAAGTTATAATAATGGTTCATGTTCTTCCCAATGCCAAGAGAAGTACAATCAAATGTTAAATGCTCACAATCAAAGCCAGGAGAACTACAGAGAAATGATGAATGCTTTTAAGGCGTATATGATAATGAAAGAAGGGACGATACCTGAAGAATTTGCAGGTATATTTGTTCCTCCTCCTCGTTCAACAGTAAGAATAGTTCATAACTTTCTTATTTAATTTTGTAAAGTATGATTGTTCAGTCCAAGTATTATTAGTTATGATACTGTTGAGGTACTTTTGTTAATTATATTTTCTTTTGATTGTTTTGTAGCCAAGTGATGCGGCTAGCGGATCCATTTCACCCATGGATATAAGTAGATCATCCGGTGGAAGTAATCCTAATGACAACCATTGAAGTTGCTTGCAAATGTATTAGATAATTAAGTATCGTACTCGGTTGAATGGTCATAGTAGATCTTTTGTCCGTAATGATTGGAATGGATGTCATGTTTAATGTTAGTTTTAAGGCTAATTATAATTTTGATGTTTTGTGTTTAATGGTTGGAGTAGTTGTGCTTACATCAAATTTTTGAGACTAATGATAATTTACTTTAATGTATTTTGTGGTTTATTAATATATTGATGTTACTTGATTCCAGTAAGCAATTTATATAATTTGTTGATGCTTCATTATATTAATATAAGTGAAATTAGAACAGTTATGGAGTAACATTATATTGAAGAAAAAAAAATTCAATGAACAGCGGAGGTTATAACTGCCGCTATTTAACCTATAATAATATTTTGTTATAAAATTCGTGGGGGTTAAATAAAGAAATTGTGGGGGTTTAGACCTCCGCTATTATTTTAATAAGTGACAGCCAAATTACCAAATTGCGGAGGTTATACCGCGTCAAATATCCGTCGCTATATGATATCGGCGGTCCGTCAAAAAAACCCCGCAAATTGGTTGCGGCGAACATTATTGCGGGGGTTTTGGAAACCGCCGTAAAAGTGTATTGCGGAGGTTTTTAACCGCCGCAAAAAGTAAATAAAACCTCCGCAAATATAGCATTTTTTTGTAGTGTATGTGGATATTTTTGTAACAATGGTGCTATTATCTCTGTTTTATTCTCTTATAAATTAATGAGAATCTCATCTTTTTGCTATGTATGTTATACTATTGCGCTTGGCATGAGTAACCATGCTGACTTCTTTTTGCACTTACTTGTGTATAATCTTTTTATGATGCCAAAAGGGGGGAGAAAATTGAGAGGGGGAATAGGTTCTCTAGGGGAATAAAGCCATTCTGCAGAAAAAAATTGTACTGAGATCTGGTTCTCAGGGGGAACTTCAATTATAAGTTTGTCATCATCAAAACGGGAAAAATTGTTAAGCTGTGTGCCTTTCTGTATTTTGATGATCTAACAAACTTCATATGAGAACCAGAATGGGAACCAGTTACAGACCTTCAAAGTGCTCAAGAACAGCAAGCCTCAAGCCTGGCACAAGCTCCAACAATTTGAGTCGAAGAAACAGCAGAGGGAACAGATGGCTATCAGTTCCTCTGGTGATAGTACAAGTTAGCTCTCTACAGTTGTAAAGTCGATGCACTGTTTCTCTGCACACGCAACGGTGCAACAGTCACTTCATGGAGCATGTCTTGTACCGGATAAATGCATACATCATTCCAATGAGCTCGCTTATATATTACCAACATGAGGCAAGGGAAAACCACACACTTGACAACCCTAAATCATCAAGTCTTTCTCTCAAGTGTGTTGCCGACTTTCAGTGACTCAAGGGCTTCAAGAGAAAAGTAACAACAGAATGAAGGACCAGATCCCAACATTGTGTTATCATATGTCCTTAGTATTGTTGTACCTTTGTTAGTGCTATCTACTTGTAGCTCCTACTCAGCTTACTTAGAAGCATTTTGTAGAAGATCGTTTGTAAAACCATAATATTGGGTTTGTGTTTTGGCTAGAGTTAGTCAAAGTGTGAGCTTTGTAATAGAGTTATTACAAAGAGGCTTGTAATAGAGTTATTACAAGTAGGTGAAGGATTAAGATGTTAATTCCTAGATTACAATAGGTTGTAATCTAAAGTTTGCTCAGTTAGTGAAGTTGAAATCCTACGAGTGTAGTTCGTAGTATTTAATCCCATGAGCTGGAAGTTTTCCACGTAAAACTCTGTTATTTCATTTACTTATTGTTGTGTGTGTTCTGTGGGAACTGATAGAGAACCAGGTTCTCTATACAGTTTGATGGACTCTTAGTTTTTAAGAGACCGACTGTAGGAACAATTTTTTCCAGCTATTTCCTATTTATGCACATTTTTGGTTACCTTTTAAGGAGTTGTTCGGCAACGTCAGCGCGCTGCACATTAATGTTATTAGGGTAGTAATTGGAACATTGTGTTATTTAGCTCTGCCTCTCTACTTTCTACAGCACATTTACAAGCTAAATATCCTTCACCTTGCTAATCTATCTTGCTCCATTTAGTTTGTAGCTATTGCAGCGTCTGAAACAGCTATAGGACTGGCTACTGTTTTATCAATTTACTGTATAATAGAAAATCAAGTGTACCAAACAATCTAATGACCATAAGTTAGTGATAGTGTTAGATAGTTGACTATTGGACACTTAGAATTATTACAAAAAAACACTAATTAGTTCTCTATTAAATACTTTTTCCATTGGTAATGCCACTAACAACATTTGGAAGTGTTGTATAGCACTTAGTAGAATCCTAAAGATATATAGTCTATATGATCAGTTGAAGGCAGAGCAAACTTTACGAATTTCACCATCAGAACCAGTCTTAACACCAATATTACTCATTTTAACCATGGATTTGCCAAACTCCACGCTGAATGTCAACCCAAGCAATCCCCTCACACCCAAGAACCTTTGGACAAAAGTGTTGGTGGAACTATCAGTCCACAACAGCTGGTCTGATTCCAGAATTCCACGACCATTCCTCAGGTTGGAGAACCATGAGTTGTCAAAACTCTTCTCACTGCCATTGTCTAGTGCCACTCGGTTCAAGCTACCGCTGCCATTAGGGCACATTGATTTAAGTTGAGGAAGGAAGGTTGGGTCTATGGATGGGTCAGGACGACCAGTGCCGTTGAAGTTATATAGCCTGTCGCTGAAGAAAAAGCAAGCTGTTGTTCCAATAGTGTGCCCCCCTGCCCATAAAATATATACAGATTTATTATATATAGTTCTTTTATTGGAGAACTAATAAAAGAATTAACAGTTACGTTATGCTTACCAAGAAGGGTGACAAGATCTTGAGTGGTGAGACCCTTATCAGCAAACTTTTGCTTTTGAACATCAACGGAATCAGCAGGGCTTGGAAAGTTATTAACATCAGATGCTGATGAAACTCGCCCATCTCTACGTCCCGTTGGTACAACCCAACTAGCTCCGTTGGTCTGCACCAATATATTCATTAATAATCCAAAATTAGTACTGTAAGCATCAACAATATTCACAACTCCACCATTATGCAATTACCATTCATAGACATTATAAGAAACCATAACGTTAATTTTTCCTCTTGTTTACCTAGGTCTACTTGCATTAACGGGAAATAAATTATTATTCGTTTGTACCCATCTAATGTACTGCTTCTTTCACACCATGCTATAAATTTGATTATCTTCCAATGGTCTAGATCCCTCGAAGAAGTCGTGGCTACCCTCGAGCATCAGAGGGGTCCAATGATGTGATCATGGATCAGTTTCATTCATATAAGCTACTCCCTTCAGTCCACAATAAATGACTTTTTGGACACAATGAATTAATAGATCGAACTTAGTGATGCTTCACAATTAACTTAGTAAATGTTTTACGTAGTGCGCTACATCTTTATAACACGTATTATTGTTCGTGAACCATTTAGCGCAGGTGAACTCAAAAAGACAGAAAAAAAAAGAAAAAAAAAGAAACATCCCGTTCCTGAATGAGCTTAAAGCATATATTGAATTAAGATATTGATCCGCCCCCCTTCTTGTAACAAAAATATCATGTAACAGAATTTGAAGGGAGATTAAATTTCACTAGAAATGTCCCTTATAATATGAAGATAAAGTAGTACATATTTTAACTTAAAGGCAAAAAATTTGAAAAAAATTTCCAAAGAGAGAGGACCAAAATTAAAAGTGTAGGAAGATATAACAATTTACCAAAACAACAGCATCACGGGCAGCAAGAGCAAGAATGTCAGCACAAGAGACAACTCCAGGACAAACAGCTTCAATCTGTTTCTTAGCATCATCGATAACCTCGAATCCTCTCAAGCCGCCATTCCCGGGGGCATTTTTCTCAGCGTCTGAACCATCAATGAGGATAGAACCATCACAACCTTGTACAAAACAATCGTGGAAGTGCAATCTCAGCAGTCCTGGTGCCAACGTTGGATCGGACTGAAAATGAGACTTCACTGTTGATTGAACGATGGATTCGACTCTAGGGCACGTACTAGAATAAAATCCAACACGAGTCCCTTGGCCTCGTACCATAGTCATAGACATGGATAGCATGACAAGAACCATAATCATGGTTAGTAATTTGCTTAGGGAACTATAACTCATAATACTACTGTTTCAAAGATGGTCTTTAGATTTTTTTTTCTATGTTTCAGCTATATATGGTCTTTGAGTACGTAAATTGTGTACTAGCTTTTTGGGTGCTTATTATTGGAAATATTACAAATGTCGACGTGTATTTATAGGCAATGGCAAATGAATTGAAGATCAAATCTATGTCCCTGGATGACTAGTAAGTAAGGCCGACTTCCATAATTTGGATATATGGACAATACAGAATTTTTCTTTCTTTATTTTTTGTTTCTTTTCTTGGAGTACTAGAGCAAGGAAAATAATTTTAAAAGGATTTAACTTATTATACTGATAGTCTTTAATATTTTGTAGCAGGTAACTTGTTTCATTTTTTATGTTACTAATTCATTAATTATAATGAACAATTACCTTTAGTTATCTTTTAGATGGCTAAGAGTTGAGAGTGTAAAATTACTTTTACGTGTGTATAGAAGTTAAACTCATTTGAGAAATATTTCTTTGGGGAGGATGAGTGTGGAATGCAATTACAATTTACACCTAGCAGCCTGAATTTGTTAGATGCAGTTATCTTTTTTTGTCTCGTGAGGAATTACATTTACAGCATTATGAAATTTGTTTTACTATTCGAAAAGGAAATTTCTTTAATTTTTTGGAAGTTAGCGCTCTCTTAAGAATCGTTTTCTTTTTTTGATGGTCTGAAATAATGAAACTACATTGGGTTGTTATCGTATTTGTTTGGCTATACTAGGATAATGTTATCAAACAGTTATACCAGGTGCTTTTTTTGATGGATTTCTTACAGTTGAAGAAATTTAAAAATTTATAACTTGCCAATTCTCGTATTCATTTATAGATCGATCTGATAAAGAAAAAGATCTCAATTTAGTAGTAATAGTTTCAAATGAAACATATTGTAAAGAATTTTGACGTCCATTGAGAATGGTCGGTTTAGATCATGCTAATAGTAGTGGCACTACTGCAACAAATATTTGCTACGTACATTTGTGGTTTCAAATATATGGATTTTGTATTTACATCTACTATCGCAATCAATTTAAATTGAGGAAACTTTGTTTAACGGAGGATTTTAAATTTTTAACTTTTATGGGTGTGTTTGGTACGAAGGAAAATATTTTTCGGAAAATGTTTTTCAATTTTCCCATGTTTGGTTGGGTTAAATATTTTGGAAAACATTTTCCTTATGAACTCATTTTCCTCCAATTGAAGAAAAATATTTTCTTTATCAAGAGAAGGAAAAATATTTTCCAAAACTCTTACTCAACCTTACCCACCCTCACCAACCCACCCAACGTCTACCCACCCCACCCCCTCTCTCTCCAAAAAGGATTTTTTTTTTTTCCAATTTCAGTATTTTTTTTTCCGTCACCACACGCCCTGCTACCCCGCCCCCCCTCCCCACCCCCGCAAAAAAATTATTTTTTTTACTTTTTTTTTTGTAATTTCAAATTCTGTTTTTTCGTTTTTCTGCACCCCCACCCTCCCTCCACCCCACCCCACTGCCCCCCAGCACAAAAAAAAATATTTTTTTTTACCTTTTTTTTTTTGTAATTTCAAATTTTCATTTTTTCGTTTCTCTGCACACCCTTCCTCCCCACCCCCGCGACCCCTGCCCCCACCCCCTCCCCCCACCCCCTCCGGAGAAAAAATATTTTTTTATATGTTTTCAATTTTAGTTTTTCATCTTTGGTTTACAGGTTCGAAATTTTACAAGTTCCAAAGTTATGAGTTCGGAGGTTTATGTGTTTGGAAGTTTACGGGTTTAGAAATTATAACGTTTACGGGTTCGAAAGTTTGCGGTTTCGAAAGTTTAACGGTTCGGAAGTTTATGAAATTTGTAGGTTCGGAAGGTTGTTGGTTCGAAAGTTTATGGCTTCATGTTTATTGTATCTAAATTATTTATAAATACTCCTGAGAAGTTATTTTCTTTAATTTGCGTACCAAATACCGGAAAATGAATAAGATTACTAGTATTTGTTTTCCAAGAAAATATTTTCTGTCACACCCCTTTTCTACCCCCAAAAGAATATGTGTTATGGATTTATGGATTGTTGTGGGTTAAAGAGTTTTTCCAATTAAAGTGACAATTTTGAAATAGGGATTATTTTATTGTTCAGAGTCGCCACTTGGAATTGATTTTTGGGTGTTCCAAATCACCTTTTATTTGAATCCCTATTCAAAGGAAGATTTGACTCTTTTATTATTGGTCTGGAAAATAAGATCGGGTAAGAATTCTGTTGACCGGGGAGAAGGTGTAAGGCATTCCCCGAGTCCCGTTGTTCTAGCACGGTCGCTTTATTGACTTAAACTTGGCTTGAATTAATTTTGGATAAACTGTGCCTTATTGGTTTTCATGTTTGCCTATGTCCCATTTTATTGTTGATTTTATTAATCTCAAACTAGGACGAGTATCCCCGACCCTAGCTTACACTAACCAAGANGGACGAGTATCCCCGATCTTAGTTCGTGCGTCGCACCTAAAACTGAAGCCTGCTCGAAAGCAATTAAATAAAAAATTATTTATTTGAAAGAATTGGAACAAGGCGTGTCCTCACGACCTTGACATTTTATTTATGTCTTTATTCCGAAGCGAGTCTTCCCGACATCGGTTAAGACAAAATTATTTACCTTGGGTAAGACGACCTACTATAGGGGTTAGATTATAAAATAAAAATAAAAAATTGTTCATTTTTGTCGCAAAAGAAAGTGCATATTTGTAGCTTAGTGGTGGTAAGAAAATGTATAAAATTAATAGTTAATATTGAACTTACTTATAACCTTATTCTTATTGTTGTTGTTATCAATTAAAATGACGAAACTAATAAAAAGCTACATTTGTTCCTGAAATTTTTCTAGCGCTTTATTAATTGCTAGAAATGATTAGGTAATTAAATTAATGACAAAAAAATCTAATTTTTTAGGGAAAACAAGGCAAATTAATGTAGAACCAACTCTATCTATTTTAAAGAAATGACCAACTTCTTGCCAATGGTGAAATGAGCCAGCAACTATTTAGAACTAATGAACTCTTGATTATATATATATATATATATAAATAAATATATAAGATCTCTCCACAAGTTAAACTAACTCATGATTCCAACTTATTTTACTATCACAATCATTCTTAGTTTTAAAGCCTGCTAAACTAACATCAAACTTATATGGAGCATGAATTAAATATGAAAAAATATATTTTTTTTTAACTTAATGACATCTACACTGCTCCATATAGCTCAAAAAGTGTCAAAATGAATTATGCCAAAATAACGCTACAAGTTGTCGCAAATTCTTCATACATGAGGCAAGCACTTTACTTGTTCACATAAGGAACTTCACAGAAAGTTGCAAGATATCAGAAATCAACCATACCCACCTTCCATAAGCATTCAAACATAACAAGGGCTAAAGCACATGGTTTTGTAGATAGAAAAACTTAACGAAACTCATACTGCGACACTGAAACAATCATTCTCTTGTTCTTTTAGAGTATGCACCAGATCCAAATAGTTCAAACTAACAACGAGGAACATAGGTGGATCAAAACAAAATAAACTAAACTATTTAAATACAACAATGAAACTGGTTATGAATATGCAGGTTTTGGCATTCAAACATTCGGTGAATCCTTTGAGAAAATTGCTTGACGCTATCTAAACATGCCCAACTTTTCATCATTTGCTATTAAAGAAAAGGAACCTGCATTACAAAAGTTTAGAAGGTCACCTGAATAGTAAAAATGTTAGCAATGATTGAAGCAACAGAAACCAGCAACAGCAAACAGCAACAACCAGCAGTTCTTAGACCAAAGAAAATGAACCAGAGATGACCAACAAAGCAATTGAAACCAGAAATTAACTCTGTAAATTCCACACAAGATTCCTCTACTTTCTTAAAGGTTTTGCACTTAAGAAATCACTCACTCTAGCTCAGAATTTTCAGCTTACTATTTAGGTGTTCAGCTGCTCTTTTTTGCTCTCAAAGTTGTATTCTTTTGCTAAGTGTGTAAGAAGTGTGTTTTTTTAGAGTCCAAGATCCTAGAAGATGCGTAAAGACCTCCACTTTTATATGGGAGGAGGAGGACTCTTGGGACAGATTTTATTTTGCCAAAAATCTATCCAAAATGATGGATTTTTGACCAAAAATCTGTCCAAAACCAGAATTTTGGTTAATGAACAGTTTTTCTTACCAATTGTGGACAGAATTTTGGAGTATTGTACTCCAAAACAGCCCTCAACAGTAAAAGCAACCAAACAAAGGTCCTACACTCAAGTACCCCCTTACTGACCTTCCCATTTATCTTCAATTCATTCATTCAGCAGAAATAGATCTCAAACCATACTTGGATTGGACAAATCTGGTAGTAAAAAGGCCAGAACTTTACCAAAACTCAAACTATTAAGCTGAACCAAACAAAAGCACGCCACATATATGTTAAGAATGCTTTATCTTTATGTTAAATTCGGCCACAAAACATGTTCATCTCAAACAAAACGATCCTAATTGAGCGAACAATCAACTACAACAAAAATCCAACAACTAAGGAATCTAATGCGTGACTGACTATCTTAGTTAAATGTCTAACTATATCAACATACCCTATTTAACATGAATTAACCATAGTGAACAATAATCACATGAGAAGCAACTTTAAACCTTCAATTTCACTAAACTGACCAGCGATTTTGTTAAAAATTGCTGAAACTTCAGTTAATTCGCACGACAAATTAAACGTGAAATAACATAAACTGCAATTGAAGCTAAAATTTACAAACTTGAATCTACAACTAACTTCGAACACCACTAGCAGAACTTATGAGATAGGAATCTGAACAATAAAATAATTTGAGATCAACGAGGGACGACTAATCATTACTGACTCTAAACTAACTAACGACTAACTAAAGATAAATAAAACATATGATCAAACAAAGAAGAAAAATCAGAAATTTTAGACCTAAACAAACTATAATGAAACAGAAAGTAAAAGAAAAAGAAAGGGGACACAAGGGATTAGGGTGTACCAAAATCGAGTGGTGCGGCAGTGGTGGTGATTCGGGCAGTGGTGGAGGAAGTTTTTGACGTCGGACATGCTCTTCTTGTTGC